CGATCTCGAACGGTCTAACGGGTTGACGTATCTTGGGAGAGGAGCGCACTATAAGACTCTAAATTACCAGTGCAGTGGGAGCATTTTCTCTCTAAGGATAACATTGTGCGTGCTTCAACTCAGGCTACTCTAAACCTATTATTTAATATTCTAATTTGCTCTTTGTGTTTAATTAGTTGTACTGATTGCTCTATTTTAATTTTATAATATTCATTGTGTTGTTGATATTGGTTTTATTGAAAAATCTAAATATATTTTTTTGTGTTCTATTAAATTTATTTTCTAACATATTTTGTATATGTAGAGTTGTATTTGATAACACCACTTGTTTTTATAATTTGAACTAGGTTGTTAGTGATAACATCACTTCTTTTTTATGAATTTTATACAAGCAAGGATAGATCTACATGGAGGAGTGTGGGGGCACTTGCCCCACTACAATTTACACATACATATTTCTCTTAACATGTTTTTGTTATCAAAGGTTGATAAACAATTATGCTTTGTTTTTAGATGTGAAATCCTCTTTTTAATTGATTAAATCCTTTGATTTAATTGATGAAATAAAAATTATTTATTTTTTTCCTATTTTTTTAAAACCAAATACTTATTTCTCACCTATAATTATTTATTTTATTAATTTTATTTTCTATTTTCATTCATTCTATTTTTCCCGTATTTATTCCTTCCTATCAAAATATTAGGATCTACAATGCAATATCAACTACTAAAGTCAGTTTTATGATAAAAGTTTAAATGATATATAAAGTTTAAGTTCAAACTTTGTTATTATTATTATAATTTTTTTCTATGAATAAAACAAAATTTTCCATACAATATTTAATTCAATTTGAAATTTTAAGTTTCTTTTAACGTGTCTCTTTTATCATATTGAACTACTTTTTTACTCAAATAATAAAAACTAACTTAAATTCTAAACTTATTTTTAATGTCTTAATTGATCTCTATACTTACGCAATAACCCTTATTAAGTATTTTTTTTTAATAATTAAGTAACCTTTATGTAGTTATTTATATCAGTAATTTGCATAATAACTCTTTAATGGCCCGTTTAAGTTGCTTGAGTTTAATAGCCAATTTATAAGTTGCTTGAGTTTAATAACCAATTTAAACCCTAAACCCTAGGTCTCTATTTCTAATTATAAAGAGAAGACAGAAGCTGCCATAAAAATAAAAATAAAATAAAATGTAGCAGCTTCATGAAAAATAAGAAGATTATTTGAGTTTAATAAATATATATTATCAATATAATTTCTTTTACATTGTTATCCATAAAAATAAAATAAAAAAACTCTCACGTGATTTAATTGATAATACAACGTATTATAAAAACCAACAAATTTATCACACACAAAAATTTATAATCAGAAGTCAATATAAAAAAATTATACATTGTAGGACTGCTAGTGTATATATTATTTATTTTCCAATTTTCTAACTTTATGTCCATGACTTTTATAAGTTTCCTTCACCATGTTTTATTTCTCATCTAACTTTTTCTCCCTTTATTTTTATGCCCACACTTCTCAGTGATATATAGAGTTGTAGGTGATGGGTAGGTAGTAAGATCCAAAATGGATGATAAAGTCAAAATTTTGTTTTGGAAACCTTCTTTCACTATTAATAAGGCAAATTTAAAACAGTAGGCACCCAACAACCCAAGTTCAAAAATGGTTGCTTATGAATTCCACCATAGCATTAAAAAAAGCCAACCAAGGCATGAAGAATATTTCATTATCTTTTTATTCTTTTTCTTTTGTTCATTTCAGTTGAAGGAGACAATAATTGCTTTCTATTTTGTTGCCACTTGTCTCTCTCGAGATTTCTTCATTTAAAATATTAATGATACAGTTAAAATTTTGTGATGAAGAATGGGGCCTGTATGATCATGAAAACCACCCCAATTAATGTGAGTGTATGAGCTAATAGCATTTGGTTCTGAAGATTACACTAGTGATGCATCAACTAGTTTTATGTGGATCCTTTAAGACACGTGCACTTGTTAAGTTGAAGCCTTAACAACAAAAATTAGATCATGGGTGCATATGAGAGGTGGGTCAAGGTCAAGGGTATATCTGACATTGCCATATATAACAATCATAATAATAATTAATAGCAACCATTATATATGTTTCCTTGTTTTTCAGCATATCCATAATCATGCATGATTAAACTTGTGCATAAAATAAAAAGATGTGGGAAGATAAGGAATCTCTTTGTCTGCTACTGGTTCAGATTTGCAAGCTTTTCCATTGTCCCATTGATTAGTTCAACTCTACAATTTACTGTAGTAATACATTCTTAGATAATATGTATTCAGTTTATTGTTCCATTGATACAAGTTATTTGTAGTGAAAATAGTGACATATATTTGATGTAAAATTACTCTGGTAATTTATTATGTACTGACTGATTGTTTTCTTTTCATCAAGATCTATTTTTATTAGCATTACCCATTGTTGATGTTTTTTTTCTGCCTAGCAATTTTTATTATTGGGTCTAATAGTCATTATTTTGGCCAAATAAAATAAAATAAATAGCCTTTATTGATTGATGTCATCATAATGTTATTATGTTAGAGTGCTTGACTGAAAAGTGAAACATTGGTGAAGCCCATGAGCCCAAGTACCAGCCTTGGTGACTTGCTCAAAAACTTCAATCCAAATGCAATGTATTTTGGGTGTGACCCATTTCATTTTCCACTTTGTGAAGGTAAACAATCCATGATATTTTGGCTTTGGAAATACATCTTTCATTGACAAATGAAAATGGTAACCCATCACTAAATTATGATAAAGACTCAATAAATGAAATATGTAACCTATAAAATTTGTGATTTCTAATACATTTGGGTCAATAATAAAGAGTGTTTGACAAAATATTGTTAACATTTCTCAAAAATAAAAAAGAAATAAGATAGAAGTAGGAATGTACAACAATAAAAGAATTTTTCTTTTTAAATATGATCGTGCGTAAACTGAAATAGAAAGAAATAATTTTATAAGCAAGGATTAAATTTACACAAAAATCAATGTAACTAAAAAAATAATTCATACTTGTTCAACCTTAAAGGCATCCTTGAAACTATGAAAGACATGTTTCAATCCCAGAAGAAAGAACATGTGAATGATCAACCATTAAACATTTATGGCAATGAAGGGAACATAACAATTTCTTGTTCACACTTTATACACAAAAAAATATGGGGAATTTCTTCATCATTTGGAATTCGAACACATCTAGTGTGCTGCCAAATTTCACAAATATCACAAGAGACCATCCTTTCACCATCATCATCTATAGTTCCACAAATGCATTCCACAGTACCATTGTTTGGATCACTTTCACATATTTGCTCAATCATGTTTATTCCAATGCCACCATCCCAACCCTCAAGCACCACTTTTCCACCCACTTCAATTAGCCCAAAAACCATTTGTACCCCATTGTTGGCATTCAAGTTCCCAATTGATTCCACCACAAAATTCCTTAACCCCCAATAGATTTCTCTGAAGTTCCTCTCAACTTCTAGCCTCAAGTCATTGATAGTAGCATTGTTCTTCAGTGTGATACATTCATGGGGTGGCATAATGGCCTTGTTTAGGTACTCATTACCCCTCAACAAAATTGTACAATAAAGGGTGAGTTTTCCTTCCGAGCCTAATTCAAATTGGTAAGGAACATCTCCAAAGTAATCCTTAATGAAAAACTTGGCATCAAGAATTATCCTAGCAGCCAATGATATAGCTGAGAGAAATTCTGACCCCATCATTGGTTTTGGTTCTGTGAGAATATACTTGTACAAAAAAATCATGTCCTTCATTAGTTGAGCTCTTGTGATCTTGTACTTGTCCTTGACTTTGTTACTCATGACCAAGCCTTCATTGCAAGGGTACACATTAGAAATATCTTCTAAGCAATATTCCAAGACTTTTGTGACAGGGTTCAAGCTTCGACGAACCAAATAGTTTCCTACAACATGGTTTCCTAGTGACTTCAAGACAAAATCTAGCAAACCCGTGTCACCAATGTATGCACGAGCAGTGTCTCTAACTTGTTGCCTTGAAACCCATCTAAATTCGGTTCTTTTGAGTGCCTCAACAATGACTCGTGTTGCCATCTCAATTCTTTTAGGGGACCATCTACAATTAGTTTCAAGCAATAAGGAACTTGTGTTATAGGAACCAATGCATGTTTCACGAGGAAGGCGAGATTTGAGGTCTAACATGTAATGAAATAGGTCACCAAGGGTCACTAGGGACTGATCTGAAAGGGTTTGGTACCTTGAGAAGATGATGGGGATGTCATGGTTGGAATTGCCAATGTGATGTATGATCAAGCATAATGGCATGCTTCTTATTGCCTCTATGGCCTTGTGGTACATGGATTGAGTCACACCAAAGCACCCTCGACCAAATTTGTAACCCCAACGACCGAACCATGGCTCATTGTATGCTATTCCATTCACAAGTCTTAGTTCCATTCCTCTCTTTTGTGAAATATCATTCAAACTCACTTTCCTATCATGTAAAGTACAAATTCATTAGTCTCACTAAATTAAATCTTTGCATGTCACTTTTTTTTACACAAGTGTTTATATTATTTTTGTTCAAAAAGTATCGATTCATTTGGTCTTTATGATATAAAAAGTAACACTCATTTGACATATTTTCTTTACCATTCATATTATTACACCCTAGTCACTTGGCAAATACATAACTAGCATACCAATGTTTTTCCTTCATTTATTTTTCTTGGAAGAAAGGAACAAAGAACATAAAACAGTTACAATAAAATACAAATGTGAAATTATAGAATCCAATAAAAAAAACAGTATTAAATATAGATTGTAACACTTTCTTTTAATATAAAGATAGATCGTAAAAAGTGAAAGTTATGATCAATCTTGATAAAATGAGAATTTGGTAAAAAGAATAAGACTTGATCTTGAAAATTATAACTAATTACAATTTACTAAAAATTATAAAATTATAAACAATTTATTAGAAACAAACAAGACTCGTTCATTTCATATAATACATTTTAGTTAAAAATATTTATGAAATGTTACTAATATTTTTTTTATTTCATATAAATAAACACAAAAATATGTAAAGTAAATGCTACATATTATACACAAATAGAGAACACTATGTGAATTAATAGGATTTGTTTTTGGTAATAAAAGTAGTAAAATAGGAAAATATCATCAATACTATTGAATAGGATGTCAATGACATGTTAAAGTTGACAATGGAGATCCAATTAAAGAATTGTTATACAAATTTAAACTATAAGTAGTTTTAACTAATTATAATTACATAACTAGTCTTTAGTCGTAAAAAAAATCTAGTGATATTAAGAAGAATTATTGGTTTTTCATAGTTAAAATTGTGGTATACTTACACCATAATATCAATATAGGTTTTGTAATTGAACCTTTGAAGTTAATTTATAAAATTATGACCGTCTTAAATTGCCATTTGTGACAATTTTATTTATTATAAAGACCTAGTTACCGAAAAAAATTGTAAAAGATCAAAAGCTTTATTATAAACTTTTGTTTTTTTTAGTTAAAGAACTAATTAAAATTTTTCAACAGTAAATTTGTATTAAAACTTTCACATACAAAGAGAGTGATGGAAGTGGATTAACCTTGCTTGCAATCCGTAGCACAAACGGTTCCAAAACTCCATGATCTGGTTCCCAGCCAAATTCGAACCCATTTCCAATCCATTGACACATAGCAAATGCCCGAATCCATTAGAGTGAAAAACACCATGCAGCATATGACCCTGTAATTCAATTAATTTTGACTTACCATTATTAATTGTAGCAATTGCATCACAGCATCCTTCACAGCTCCTGCAGGTTGCCAGTGCCTCCTTTGAGGGCAACACGAAGTGGTACTTCTTATTGCAAATGAAATGGTTGCCCCAGCCTGTGCTAAATTCAAATCCAACAAAAATTGAAGTAATTAAGATGATACATTTATGTAAATAAACATATCAATAAGTTACACATATCATCATGTAACTAGTTTCTAACCATGAATGAATGCTATTAAGGAAAAAGTTGGTACACATTCTCTTATAGTACTTTTTTCTAACACATTCTTTGAATTTTGTTTACTAAAATTTACTTCTAATTTGATAAGTTTTACAAGAATTCCAGTCAATAATAAATAGAGTTTTGTATGTACTCTTTATTATTAATGGAAATTTATCAAAAATACATAATCATGAAATATTTATTAAATCGAAATTAAGACTTTTTTTTTTTAGTTTTCGGCCAATAGATATTAGTATCTTCAAAGGAAGAAAAAAAATATTTATTATCAATGTAATATAATTTTACGATGTCATTTGATCACAATTATCATTTACAATAAATTTGTTAACTTTTACGAATTTACTTTAAAAATTATATCAATGATAATTTTTTACTGGTCAATAATGTAAAATTCTTTATAGTATTTGGCCATTAAATCTTCAAACTAAAAGAATATATCATAAATGTGTTATCAATAATTAATTTTTAGCATTCTTCATGCTATTAATTACAATACAAAACCATATATTTATTAACATTACCAATGTATTGACAATGCTTGCAATGACGATTGAGTGCTGCTTCTATTGGCTCTTCAATCACAAACAATAAGATATGCAAAGGTGGGTGGTGATGAACTTCAAGTTGAAAAGACCACATTGGCATTCCCATGCTTAAATTACTCTCCAAATTCGCATACTCAAGTAATGCATTAACGTTCTCACGAAATGGCCCCGTAAACATAACGGGGTATCCAGGTTCACCAAAGTTTTTGAACCTAAAAACCCTCCCACACCTCTTCCTCTTTTTGTTCCCAATTACGTCAACATTCAACATGGCCTATGCTTTTGTGAAGCTAACAATAGTGGGAAAATTAAGGATGTTGTTTCTAGAATTTCAAGCATGTTGGAACCAAGGAAACTCTTATATATACACGTTGCACTCACACTCACACACATGGTGCCTTGAAATAATATTGGACGTGGTAATAAAGTGTTGCACTGAGTTATGTAGCTTCTATTTGCATGATCTGATTCAAAAATGGGTTTCTTTGAAAATTTATCGCACTAACCTACGAAATGGTTGGTGTTTTGTAGTAAACTATAGGTACCATGCAATTATAGCCTCTTCGTTTCCTACAAATTCTATGATCAAATTGGAGTAGTTGATTCCTATCTTGTAGGCCTAAAGGCAAATGCAACATTTCTTGTCTAACTACCGTAAGGAACATAGTTTGTTAAATCGAACTTGCGTTTCATGCATAAGTGCTTACTTTGATAGCATTGATATTATATAAGTGGTCAATTGTTATTCGGTGTTGCAAAAGTGTAATTTCCTCAAGCCCGTTTGGTACTTATTTTTAATTTTTGTCCCATACGTCATGTTAATGTGTGTTACTATTTCTTCAATTACTTAACAGACTTTTTTTAAGAATAAGGAACATAATAAAACTTGTTTATGACATTAGGAAAGACTAGGTACCACAAGATTTACAATGAAACGGAGAAGAAATTTTAAGCTGGACTAGGTCCACTGCCACGTGTGCCAGTGCTACTCTAAAGTCTCGAGCAATATAGGACTACATATTGACACTAAGCATTTACAAAAATAGAAGAAAGAAAACACAAAAAACTTCATGCTGTGTATGTTAGCATCCTCACTAAAGGTGTTTAATAATCATACAGTAGATTTGGTCAATCTTAAAATTCTGGATGCTTAGATGTATAGGTATTTTGTATGCTTAGATACGTCCATTTTTTAGTGTCCTATGAGGCTAACAGTACGGATGCCTAGATACCTGTGAAACTTTTTTAAAAAAAAAAAAACTGGAATATTTAAATTTGAATTAATAAAAATATAACCTCATTTTTGTTTGTGTAACTAGTGTAGGACCATACTGAATTTATAGACCTTGCAAGTTGTAAATTCTTAATACAACATATAGAACAACAGCAATATAGGACTTGTTGATAACAAGCCTATGATGTACTGTTTACGGTTAGAACAATGAAGGGTGAAGCATATTATGGAGAATGCCCCCTTAAAAATTAGATGTTAGAGCAAAAGGACAATTGCATTTTGTCAGTTAAACTTCAGCAAAGCTCCAATCAACCAAAATGAACCATTAATTAATCAACAATTCTATTGATAACAAACAGGATCAACTATTTTCTAATGCTATTCGAATGGCGTCGATCTCATGTGGTTGAGATCCCATTTTAAATCGGATTGGTTTTGTTTCACATGGTTACTTTTTCGAATTTTTTGTGAACCATTTTTTTGATTTTCGGCCAATCGTAGGGTATATCATGACGCGTATCTCGTTATACGAAACATATTTGTTGCTTACAGCACAAACTAATGAGAAAATATCTTACCTAATCTAATTATTAAACTTCGAAGTTAAGTCCAGAAAATCATGAACAATGACAACCATTAACCACACTAATTCGCTTTAATTGTCCTTAATTTATATCCAAAATAAGAGTTCCAAACTCGGCAGTCATTCTGCAAATCTAACTTCCGAGTATGATATGAAGAAAACTTTCTTTGTATGTAGCAATTGGAAAACATCAATACAGAATTTTTTTTACGCAGTGTTTGGTACAAAGGCGACATAACAAGGTGTCTTCTGTTGGATGCAGCATCCAGTTCCCCCTCGCAATTCCTAAGCTGACCTGCTCCACTTCTTGCCTTACTGTTATCTATATCCAGTAAAGCGAGTGGCATAACATTCAATTTCTTGATTCCACTAACACAAAGAAACGTGCTACTCTACACTAGTTCCTCAGCAAGCGCAACTCCACATACTGCATCCAAAATCCAATGATTTACAATTTGAGACCTCGCTGGCATGGCCTTCAATAGTATGAAGTGGCCATCAAGTTAGAAAGGATAAAACTTTTCATCATTATCACAATGGTGCCTCCACGTATGGAAACCAAGAACCACAATCTTCTCTACTTCAAGCATTATCTACCAACACGCGTGATTATATATCGTCCTTTTTCTAGATCATAAATTGTCTTCAACTGAGGTTTCCTCCACCTAGATATAGACCATGCCGTTAACAACATCATAAAAATTCCAATAATTGAGAGGAGAGTAGGTGATTCATCACTGTAAATGGTGGAAATCCAGTTATGGTTCTGTATATCGGCATCAGCTGTTGTTTGCAGAATAAAAGCTCCTAAAGCCCAATCAAGCGGAATACTTCCCACCTGATTAGCAACCTTGATCCTGGCCAACAGCAATTCCAGTCAGTAAGATTCAGCCAAAAACACAGAAATGCATTGACATGAAGAAACATTAAGTTATAAAACATATATGCAATTCCAACTCGAAATGGACAAGAGCAACCGCAAGCACACAAACATGAATGAAAAGACAGTTACCAATTGAACCCAGGAAAATAGAGGCACCCAAATTGAAAAATGCCATCAGAGCAGATCTATCCCTCTTGGAGAAACAGTGATTTCTATTTCAATATACATATAACCATGGGTGCATCTGATGACAGCAGAGGAGATCTAATTGTAACGGAGTTATGAGGTGTCAAATGTGGCAACATACACCCAATAGAATCATAGAACACAACATTGAAGAATTTTGGGCAAATTACACTTGCTACCAAGGTAGTCAAAATCACAACCATACTCATGAGATCACACAATTCTTCAACTTATGTGATGCTCAATAATATTGATCATATCCAAAACAAGATCTAGGTAGTTTGTGTGGGATCATCATGTTTAGGCATGGGATTGGTGGAATAGGACATACCCATCATGCATTGGTGATGTCATTTTTCCCAAAAAAACAAAAAAAAAAAACCAAAAGCCCACCGGACTTGGAGCCCTATTTTGCTTTCATCCATTTTGACATGATCTCTGTTTTGTGATTCAATCTGTGGCTTTTGTTCATTTTTAATCCACAACAGGGAGAGGGGGTTGTTCATATTGACGACCAGTTCATCAATTTCTGGGTGGTTGGTTCAAACTTGTTTGCAGCTGCAGTCAGTTGAGCTCTTATCTCCTTCAAACTTAGTTGTGGCTGGCAGTTGGTGTTATGCCTTGCTGGTTGTTTCCACATTTAGTCAAATACTCATTTCTCCTTTTAGTTGCTTGCAGGTTTGGTGGTGGTGGTTCCCTCAAATTACATTTTGCCAGGTGTGGCTTAAAAGCAGACGGTATGTAGTAAAAATTGATTTTGTTTCCCTTCTCTTGGGTAGTTAAACCTTATTAGTTGTGGCTTTTTTATGCATTTCTAATTGAAGATTGACTAAATGTTGGCTGTAGTTTTAAGGTCACTTTGCTTCTTTGTTATTTTATGTATGTGTGTGTGTATATATATATATATATGTATGAGGAGGGATCTGTCTACTCCAGGAGTAACTCTACCTAGGCTTACTCCGTTCAATAACTCATGTTTTACATCAAATTTCAGCGATCCAACCGTTGAATTTAAAGTTCTTAATGCATAAATCAAATCTGCAAATTGTTAAAAAATTTGAAAACCATTTGATACTTCGTTTCATTAATTCAAATCAATATATAAAATGATTTTATGATTATCCGTCGATTTGAATTAATGAAATGAAGTATCAAATGGTTTTCAAATTTTTTAAAAATTTGCAGATTTGATCTATGCATTAAGAACCTTAAATTCAACGGTTCGATCGTTGAAATTTGATGTAGAACATGAGTTATTGAACAGAGTAAGTCTAGGTAGACTTACTCCTAGAGTAAACGGATCTCTCCTCTATCTATCTATATATATATATATATATATATATATAATATTTTTGAATATAATTGTGCATTTCAAGTAGGATATAATGATCAATGTTACAATAGTGTTGTGTTTCTCTTCCAATCTGACTTAGGACCTCAATTTTGACAATCTTGCTCACTTCCCAAGTTTCAAAAATATAACACAATACCCTCTTTGTTCACAAACGTACTCTGCATTTTAATGTAGATGACATGAAGTGACTAAACTACCCTTTCTGTCCTTAAAATAGGCTTGTTTCCTCATTTCTTATCCTTTCCTTTTTGTTCCACTTCCCTACTCCTTACCCATCCTATAACCTTTTCCCTTGCTGCCCCAGAGTTAAACCACTGAACTATCACAATTCACAAGTCACCAAACTATGAAGCTTCCATCCATCTAGCCTACAGGCCTACACACAACCTGAACACCGACTCTTCCCTGTTCAACCACCAAAACAGCATATAAACACCAATTTAACCAGCAGAGCACCATCCTTCTCTGTAAACAACCAAGCCTCGACCAAAATTATTAATTTGTCCACTCTAAAAGTACCCAAACACCATAATCTGAAAATCATTACTGGACTCAATCCCCTTGTACAATAACATTCATTGAGCCAAGCCCAAAATAACTCCAACTTCCATCAAGCCAATAAGCCCCTCATTATGGTCTTCAACTAGGATTAAGAAGTGAGAGATGGTGGCTGTGCCCACAGCATTGGCTACTAGCATTTGACGCTAATAAATCACCTAGCCCCTGAATTGAAAAGTCATCCTCCACCCAACAAAGAACCCATTTGGTCAATCACCAACCTCAATCCAGCCCTGATCCACTTGCATTGCAATCCATGGAAAGAAACCAGTAAATCTTGAGCTCCAGTTTCAAAAGAAAAAGGGAAGGTGCCCCATCACTCTCCCTTCCAGACAGACCACACAACTACCCTGAATTTCTCTTCCCTGCAAACCAGGCTTAGCACACCAGCAATTGCCTTGAACCCATTCTACAGCTTTCCATGGGCTTGTTGAATCGCCTTTTATACCTTTTTATCATTTTCCCCATGGTTGGGTTTTGATGGGGAGGAGAGAGTAGGAAGAGGTTTTCATTGGAAATTCAAGAAAGAAAGTGGTCTCTAGGGCTTTTCCTCATACTTGAAAAATAAGGGTAGTTAAATTGGGAAATTTAAATTTTAAAATATTTTACAAATGGAAGCTAATATAATTCACATCAAGGGAGACCAGTATATGGCTACAAACAAGAAGGGCATTTTGGTTTCACTTAACCAAATTGCAGAAAATTAATGGGATTTGCTATGAATGGGACTAAATGTTCAATGCCAATGATATTATCAACCTTTATATATTCAAATACCTAAAAAGAAAAACAAGCAGGAATACCTCTCATCATCCAAAGCAATTCCAAGACTGTCATGAAGCAGAGAAACAATGTATGCTGAAGAGAAGCAATACCGAAGTAAATCTTCCTCATCATGGGATACATATTTTCCCTTCATCCTTAACCAATCCTCTCCACAGAATTGTTGCCCAGCCTTTATCAAATTGGACAGATAGGACCTAGGCCCCAATCCAAAAAACTAATGCAAACAAAGAATAAAAAATCAGCGTGATAATGATGTTTCAATCAATAATCAAAATAAGAAAACTAGAACTGAGCATGCTGCATGCAGCTATTCGAGAAATAATAGAATTACAGTAAATTATTCTTAGCTCCATTCTCTAATGCATCCCTTTAAGACACCAAAAAAAATGCACAATTATAGAGACCACAATAAAAGAAACATGTATTAAGCATAAAAAGAACCTTTGATGTGTAAAAGAAATTTTCTGTGGCCAAAAATTTCCCCTGACGCTTTGGTATGAAAGTTGATCCTATGTCACAATGCTGATAGGAACATGATTCTGCATAAATAAAAAATGAAATAACCAACATTAATACAAAAACAACAGTGAATAAAATCTCATTTCAAAGAGAATCTAACAATTCAAAATTGTAATAAATATGACCTTTCCCTTTTTGTAGCATTTTAAGTGCTACAGATCTGCACTCTGAAAAGTTTCCCCTTGTTTGAACAGTGGATTGATATTGTTTTTTTGCACTCTCTGAGCTAGGAGGAAACTTCCATGACTCAACATTATAAGAGTATCCTGCAGGAGTACAAGGATCAATCCGCAACCCTTCTTGAAGAGATTGAGAAGCTGCACTGAGGAGAGTAAAGAATCAATACAAAACCATTTTACCATCTGAAGAGATTATGCAATTCTGCTCTATGCCTGAAAATAGTTGTTACACCAGAGAAAAAGGAGGCAGGCTGCCAAATCCAAGTGAAACATTTGAAAACTAAAAAAAGGAAAAAAATCCATGGCACATAGCACATCTAAAGGAGTATAAAAATATAGCCAGTTAGCCACCAAATAGCTCTTTTTTCTATAAAGATCATAACATTTTAACATGCAAATAAAAAATAAAAAATTGCTGTGTTCAACAATGATAAAGCAAGTAATTCATATATGAGATTTGAATTGCAAAAACATGGTGATGAGAAAATATGCAGGCATGAACATAGAATTGGTGGAAGTGGAACATCATTGCATTAAAATTTAAAATAGAGTTCTACAAAAGTAAATAACATTTTTCACCCCTAAAAACTTTGAAAAATGCACTTCATTTGAATAAGAAAGAAGAATCAAGTTGGATGACCAAATATTTTAACTGGGATGAACTTGATCATTAACTTAAACTAACATCAGTTGTACAGAAAAACAGAGATATTGTAAATAATTTAAAGATCAAACCAGCAGCACAGAACATGTTTCTGAAAGATGTTTATAGCATGTATAATACTGTTATTTTTTTAATTATTAAAGAAAATGATACTGTTAGTATAAATGCCTTGGAAGAATTTCATGCTTCAAAACTGTAAAGATCACTGCCAACCATCATACTGTATGGTAATGAAGTTCAAAGATATCATTAATCAAGTCAAGAATATAAAGAAATCAGTACACCAATCCAGCACATTTAATTACCTAAGTTAAATTCTCCTGATACAAGTGCTTCTTTCCATGAATCATGAGCAGCATTCTGCAAAATGAATAGCAACAAGGAAGCCAGAAACACTGGTATCATTCTAAGTGTATAGAACACATGATCAGCCATGTTACTTGCAAAGAAAATCACATTGAATTAAAAGGGAACAGTCAAAAGGGCAGGAAATTAAAGAAATAAAATGGTGATCACTCACTATCCCCACTAAAAAATTGACAGCACCGAGACAAATATATCATTTGTTATAATTTTTTTATTAATTTAAAGTTTTGGTCCCTATAAACCCTTTTTAATTTGGTCCATACATAAAAAAATGTTAATAATCAGTCCCTATTATTATAACACTTGGAAAATCTCTGACTTTTCAGACATTTGTGCTACATGGCATTCAAGTGATTAAAACACTAGACAAAGCAAGAATTTTCAAGGGGGGGGGGGGGTGGTAGAAAACTGATTCAACAAGGTCTTCCCATGTAGGGGACTGAAATGTAGGTATTTTTTGTGAAGGGACCAAATTGAATGTCAAACTCAAGCATAGGTGCCAAAATTTGAACTTCACATTTTTTTTCAGTTTAACATCATTTGTGAATTGTGATTTACAATGCAGAACTTTGATAGATTATAGATACACACATGTTATCAAGCCAAGAACACAGCAGAGAGAGATAACAATCACCAGGCCAAAATGAAGAAAGCTGTGGCTGTAAAGGTTGTAAGTTGTATTCCCAAATTTAACAGTTCGTGAGAATGAAGGCAGCATTGCTTCTCTTGATACAAAGGTCACCTAAAATAAGGTAGAAATCCATTTGTCATGTTTCCCAACAGTATGAACCAAGGCAGAAAGGCGGACCTTTCTAAAACACTAGCTGTAAAACTCACTAATCAATTGCAGTCAAATCATAGACAACTTTACGTTATAAATAATTCGGATTCAACAAAATAACATTTTAGAACATCAAGTAATCAGAAAACATGAAGTTGTACCTGAGCAGAAGCACCACCAAGTTCAATAATCCCAGTTGTATCCAAAGGATCACCTCCAAGAGTGCCAAGTGCATAATTAGCAACAACCCAAGCATACACTCCTTCATCAGAACCTTTACATCCACAACAATAGCATAATAAGCAATGAAGCCAACAAAAATATCCTGACATTGTGGTGGTTCTAAAAATAACAAAGTATTACACAATTAAGGAGATGGAGAAAAACAAAAGAAACATCAGATTTACATCGTGATTTTGCTGACAACAAGAACTTAGGCATGATTGCCAGCCCAACTGTGCTTGGAAAAAAAAAAAAAAAAGCAAAAGCAAAAGAGTGAAAGAGATGACGTGACAATTGGGCTCACTACATTGTAAATCCTTGAGACATCTAAAGCATGACCTTTCACCACTCAATTTTATGCAAATAATTTTCCTTTAATATTTTAATAAAAAAAATACTACTGTATCAAGATTCTCCATCTTAGTCTTCCACATTCTTCCCTCTAAAAAATATGACTTCATCCTGCTTCTATCTTCACAACCAACATCATTGATAACTCTCAGATTCCATAATGAACGCAAAGGGAAGTTCATCATAAAGCTACAACATCATAACAAAAACCAAGCTAATACTGTCAGAACCTCAATAAAACCCCTAAATTCCCCTAACTTGCATGCCCAATGCCCATCACTTGCAACTAATCCATGTGGTTGCAGTTAAAGAGCTTAAAAAATGCACACACAAAAACAGCACAAGAACCTTTCCCCCTCAAGTCATCAAACCCCGCCCTCACGGACACCAACAAAACAGTCATTCCCTCAACAAAGATCCCACACGCAAAGTTCCATCAACATCCCACTCAATCACCCATCATTCCAATTAAATTAACAACAAACACCAATTGAACTCCAGACAAAAACATCACAGTCTACCCTTTTACTCTATTCAGAGTAAAACCTCTGTCAGCCAAGTAAAAACCTTCTCGACAGGAGAAACAATTCGCACTCCCCATTTCCTCACAATCAATCACAACAATTTCTTCTCTCCATTCCCCAATGCCAACAATTTCACAAACAACAACAACAACAACAAAAAACACACAGAGTCATTCCCAACACTTCCTGCACAAATCCCATTCGTTATCCAGGTCCTCACCAGCCACACTAAAAACAAGCCCCCGATCCATTAAAAAAAAAAAAAAAAACCC